TGACGCAACAGTATTATACATAGGGACTAATGATGTAGGGAAGGATAAGTCAGAGGCGCTAATTGATAAGTACAAGGGACTGAAAGAAGCATTTAAAGAAAGAAGCTATAATAATTTAGTTCTGCCAGTAATACTGCTGAGACTTGATTAAGGGAATGAAATTATCAGTAGGTCACTAGGGCTGAATACTAAGCTTACGTTAAAAGGTAAGGACAAGCAGATCGGATGGTTGGATTTGTGGGATTAATTCAGTTGGGAGAGGAACTTTTTAGAATGAATGGTTTTACGATAGGGACTGGCTTGTTTGCAAAGGCTATTAATTCAACTGTAAGGGCAGCTTTATACTAGGACTACAGGGCCAAAATAATGAAGAAAATATAAAGGTACAGAAGTAGTTTTAATGATAGACTAACGGTTATTATTGTAAAGTATATGAAATAAACAAATGACTTTAGAGCACTATTCGGAAGGAGGATTTTGATGTAATGGGAATAGCTTTTTACAGACCACCAGATGAAATTAATGAGAATAATGAAGTTTATTTGTTTTCTTTATTTGAAGTTAAGCACAAAGCTACACAAACAATGGGCTATCTTTGCTTTACCAATCACGGGTATCGAAACCCGGTTTCTAGAGCCGTAAGTCCGCATACATACCGCTGTGCTACTTGGAGGCACTGTACGGTGAGAAAAAGAAATTAGCTGCTAATGAGGTTATAATTATGAGGTGTATAGATTAGGAAACGTTAAAATCAATTCATGAAGAAGACAGGTTTTTAGAAACTGTTGAGGAAAGTATTTTTCATCAGTTAATCATGGAACCTATTAGGAACAACGATATTTTAGATTTATGTTAATTACTATGACATACATGGTTGATAGGGTGAAGATTGCAGAATACCTGGGTGAAAGTGATCATTGCTCAATTAGGTTTGATGTTTTTCTGCATATGGAGATCAGGAATAATAAGATTTTGGCCCCAAATTTCAGAAAAGTAAATTTTGAAGGGACGAGACAAAAACTACCTTTTGTAAATTGGAGAACTGAATTAATTAGAGATACTGATAAAATGTGGAAATTTTTAAAAATAAGTTTTTAAATATTCAAGACAGGCATGTTCTTTATAGGCAAAATATGGTGGCTGCAAGCTAAAAAAAAAAAAAAAAACAAGTTAGGTTCACAAAGGTTATAAAGGATAAAAATAAAGTAAATCATTATAAATTTAAGAAACTGAAGTTGACTTCCATGATCGAAGTTTTACCGAATTATAGAAGATCAAAAGAGTTGGTCAAACGTTTAGTTAGGAAATCTAAAAGGCTATATGAAATCAGGTTGGCTGAAAATGTAAAAATTAATAGTTAGGATTTCTTTAAATGATGAATGATACTGGAATGCTCATATTTGATTATTATGAGGTTGCTGGTTTTTTTTAATTTAACTTTAATTTTTCCTAAAGAAGATTTAATAAATATTTGCCTTCCTGAACAGCTACTAGATGAAAATAAAATTGAACAAGACGATAACATCAATTTTGAACTTGTCAAAAAATTGGGAAGTTTAAATAATGATAAAGCTCCTGGGACAGATAATAAGAAAGAGGCTAAGGACTGAATATTTGAGCCATTTATTGTCCAATGATAGGAAGTTAGCAAATATTTTGGTGGATAGTCAGCATGGTTTCATAAGGGCAAAATCTTGCCTTACTAATCTTTTGACATTTTTTGAAGGAGTTAGTGCTTATGTAGATGAGAGTACGGGAGTGGATTTGGTATAACTGGATTTTTATATAGCATCCGACGAGGTTCCACATACAAAAACGATACCTCTGTAGGATATAATTTGCCTATTTGGATAGAAAACTGGCTGCATAAAAGATTGAAAAAAGGTTGTTATGGAGTTCAGTTAAACTGGATTGTTATCACAAGTGAGGTACCTCAGGGATCAGTTTTAGGACTTTTGCTGTTTTTGATTTACATCAATGACATAGATGAAGGAATTGGTAATAAATTACTTAAATTTGCTGATGATATTAAGCGTTTTGGTGTGAGACAGCATTCCGTTGCTTTACAAAAGGATTTGGATTATTTGATGAGTTGGTCAAATAAATGGCAGATAGTTTTTATTATAATAAATGTAAGATAATGCATGCGGGATATCATAATTTGAGTTATAAGAATAATTTAGATTGGAATAACCTTGATATGTTATGGAAGAAAAATACCTGGTTGTTCTAGTTGATCAGTCCCTTAAGCCATCCAAGCAATATGCTATTACTAATGTTAGGACAAATAGGATTTTAGGTTGTGTCTACAAAAATATTGAATACAAGTCTAAAGATGTTATATTATCAATGTATATTTCACTGGTTAGGCCAAATGTGGAGTATTATGTTCAGCTTTGGGCTCCTTACCTTTGGAAGGACATCGAATTGTTGGAGAAGGTTCAGAGGAGGGCTATTAGGATGATACTAGGGATGAAAAGGTTGTCATAGGCCAAGTTAAAATTTCTGAAATTGTTTTCTCTTGAAAAAAAAAGAGTTAGAGGGGGATCTGATTTAGGTGTTTAAGAGTGTTAAGGAAGTTGATAGCGTTGACTAAGAAACGCAAATATAAAATTTGGCAGAGTAGAAGTCATCTTCAGTTAAGGCATTTTTATTTTTCTAACAGGGTGGTTGGCCTCCAGATTTGATGGCAGCACTTGATTTAAAGGTTCATTATGGAAGGCTTGAAAAATATTTGAACGATAAGAGCTAGCTTTGTGTGTCTTATTTTCATTTCGAAGGCTAATTTAGTAGATGGAATGTCCCAGATGAACAGGTTTGTTGTCCTTAGATTGTAATTAAATATTTGTAAACATTCCTTATAAGAAACTTTCAGTTACCAATAAAGACCATCAGGATACGATACTAATAAGAAGAACAACATAAAGTTGAATCAATCTGGACTAACTTTAAATGCTTAAAAATAAAAATGTATCGAATAACTAACTGAAAGTGGCAGATAACAATGATTTTTTTTTCAATTTTATAGTTCATACATTTCATTCAATACTTTCACTACGTAGACTAAGAACA